TGATCAAGCCATATCCATGAGAGAGAAGTAGGACAGGGCTTACCATTCTCAACCCCAGCAACAGAGGTGTGAACAGCCTAATAGAATATTAGAGCACACCTCTCCAGTCTTATTACTGTTATAGCAATGTTTATGTTGAATACAATAGTCAATAAATGTCTCAAATGTTCATTAGCAAAACCTTACATTCAAAAAGAATGAAGACAGTTGGCCTGTGGCCTGGTCGTTAAGGTGGCTGGATCCTAGATGGCCATCCATACAGTTCGATTCCTGGACCCAGCAGCTTGAGAAGCACATGAAGCATGTGTGTGTGCATGCCCCAAATCCCAAAAGGAGAGGAAAATGGAGGAGAAGGGATTGCAGTATGACTCTCCTTCATGGGAGGATACTTTCTCACTTTCCTTCCCTCTCTCTCTCTGGCATGCATATGTACCCTCTGACAAAATTTAAAAAAAAAAGAAAAAGAATATTTTATGAAAAGTTAAAAGACACATTTTGGTACCACCTACCTTGATTTAACTGTCTTCGAACTAGATTATTTTTCTTAAAACGTTCAAATGTGTGGAATCAACAAGTATCATGTTAAGAAATGTGTTCAAATCACTGCAAAAAAAGACAAAATTCAAGAGCAGAGCAGAGCAAGAATTTTTCCAGAGGTTTAAAATTTCTCCTTGGACACTAGATCCTGCGTGACACTTATTTGGGTATAGTTCACTCTCAGAGATGAACTATTGACATGCTTCATGGCCTAGTGGTTAAAGGAGCCAGATTCCACGTGACCAACTGTGCAGTTCAAGTCCTGACTCTGTAGGGTTGAAAAACATACTGGGCATGAGTGCCTGGGTTGCCAAAATCCCTACAGATGAGGAAATGGGGGAGGAAGGGGTGCTTTTCTTCTCTCTCTCTCTCTCTCTCTCTTTCTCTTTTTCTGTCTCTCTCTGACAAATGAACACACACCCTTGGCAATATTTTGTGGGTTTTTTTGGAGAGGTTTTTTGTTATAGGGCACGTGTGCTCACCAGAAAGATAGAGAGAAACAGAAAGAGAGAGAGAAAGACAGAAAGCGAGAAATCACCCCCCAGGGGGATGGCCATGCCGCAATCCCTTCTCTTCCATTCTCTTCTTGGGATCTTGGGTACACATGCACATGTGCCTGGCGTGAGTTTAAGTCACCAGGTCCAGGATGCAAACTCCAGTCGACAACATGAGAGTCCAGTGACATAGGCATTATGCCAACTGCTGGTCCCACCTTGGCAAATTTTTAAAAATAATAATAATAAATAAATAAAATGCCTACACTTCTCTTGGTGGAGGAGGCAGCTTAAAAAAGGGAGTAAGCTCCCATCCCTAGAGGTATTTGAGTCAACTAGTTCACACAGCACTGCACCTGTGCTGGCAGAATCCCACAGGCCTCTAGTGAGGAGGTAGACATGGCAAAGTCAATACAATGTTGAGGGGTGTGAAACCAGCCTGGCAGGAGCAGCAGGAGATGGGGCTGCAGACGATCAGTTGATCCACCCTAACAAGACCCTCCCTGTTTGGAAGGATATTACTCAAAGTCTAGCAAATGTCATTTCAGAGTAGAAACAGCACCCTGGGTGGCCCGGCTTCCCACCTGCAACTTTCTGGAAGAGCAGTTCTTGGATTGTGGCTTGAGTTGAGTCCAGGCATTTTGAAAAGTGCTGATGCTGAGCTGAGTTTCTTAGCTAACGGCACCTGCCTGGACATCTAGCCTGTGACAAGAGGCAAACCTTCCTTGTACATGGGGTGAATGCTGGGAACCATAAGATAGAGTAAGGATGTAATCAAGAGAAAAAAGAGATCGAATGCAGAGACACATTCCACAGCAACCAGCTGGGACAGTCTCGCGAGCATGAAGTCCAGAACCCTGGACTGAGATCAGCATGGAAAACCATGTGGGTCATTAATCTCAGCACAGAAACAACAGGAATGAATTATGCAATGTCCCTACCAAGAACCATAAGGATTGTTTGTCCCAGATAACAATAATGGCTTGCATGAGTTTATCTTTCTTTAAGAGCCTGCTGTTCCTCACGTAGCATATAGAGAACATTCACCTTAATCCCTGCTTAAGATAGTTTAAATTGTAAAATAAAATGGACTCTCAACCGTTGAGGTTCTGAGTCCACTCTTCCCATACTTTCATGTCTGTCTCTTTCTTTATCCTCTCTGCCAATCCTTCGTTCTCCCTGCTCGCCGCTAGATCAGCAGGCGTGGAGAGAGCACAGGAAAGAGGAAATAAAAGAGGTGCAGGAGGACCCAGAGCACGCAGCTGGCATCTCCATGGGGCGGGGCCACGGAATGCTGCCCATGTGCTCTGATGTGCTCTGGCCTGTGCAGGCTCCTTTACACACTTTCACGCATTTACTCCTCACACAAATTCCAGAGGGGCTCTTTTATTCCCATTTCCAGATGAGGAAACAAGGGCTCAGGAAGAATCAAACTTGCACAGCTTCCTGCATGACTACACCTAGTCTGATTTCCAAGCTCACATTTTTGGTTTTTGTTTTGTTTTAATGTTGACTCTACCTTGTTTCATGTTAAGTTTATTGATTTCTTCCACGAGCAAGAGAGAGACGGCGACAGCGCCCCCAACAGGGTCTTCATGCTGTGACGCACCTCCAGCCTCAGCCAGCCCAGGATTGTGAGTCCAGGTGCCCGGCATATTCAGGGTCTCTAGGTGAGAACCCAGAACCTGCCCACGGCGGTGGGTCTCACGGAGCAATGCATCGCTATGGCACCACTATCCAGCCCTCTAAGCTCATGTTCTGAATCACTTCCATCTGTTGCCCTTGCTGGAAAACAAAAGATCTCACCCGGGAAACTTCCAAGTCACACTGTTAACTATCGCTCGCTGCGCCTAGGGCCGCAGAATGCGGAGTTGCGCCCCTAGTGGAGAGGATGGGAGGGACAAAGGCCAAAGAAAATACTACAGGTTGAGTATCCCTTTTCCAGAACGCTTGGACCCAGAGCATTTAGATTTCTTTTCTTTTTCTTTCTTCCTTTTTCTTTTTCTTTTTCTTTTTTTTTTTTGATTTTGAATATTTACGTGTACATAATAAGCTCTCTTTATGAATAGAAGTCTAAACATGAAATTCACTTATATTTCAGATATACATTATCTCCATAGCCTGAAGGTAACTTTATATATTTTTGTATTGTAGTGTTTTGAAAACAATTAGTCACCGGAAGTTAGGTGTGACATTTTCCACTTGTGGAGTCATGTTGGCACTCAGAAAACTTTGGATTTTGGAGCATTTTCAGATTAGGGATGTTCAACCGGTAGTACTAAGAGTGAGATGAGCTCACGTTAGCGGGTTGGGATAGCTGGACTGACACAGAGAGGCCGATGGGGCTGGTGAAGCCTGGAACTCTTAAGAGCCTCGATGGCACATTGGAGAGTCTCAGTTCCATCCCAAGGCCTAGGGCTTCCGGAGAATGGTTCTAAATAGAAGAGGACCGAGCTGGGATTTCTGCTCTGGGACTGCCCAGGGTGTGTGGGAGGAGACTGAAGGGGCGGGGCCAGAAGCCAGGTGCCAAGGCACTCAGTGAAGTCTCTGGATGGAATGGGAACCATCCCATGCCGGTCAGCCTCACAGAACCGCACATTTTACTCCTGATCCCCACCCCTTCCCCCCGGGCCTGGCCTCTATATTTAGCATCTTTAACTGCATTTTTCCCCCCTGCTTTCTGACCAAGAGAAATCAGAACAGGGTACCAGCAGTGTCCACTGTCGAGTCCAACCCTAAACAATGAGGAAACTGAGACCCAGAGGTTTAATTGTCAACCCAAGTCAAAGCCACATACTCTAAGTTCCAGGCTGGATCCCTGCATCTGGGGCTCACAAGGACTCTGTGGTTTTTCATTTCCCCCCTCTGACAAATGAGGGTGACAGGGCCTCATAGACCATGGTGAGGAGTAGGGAGGTCTGGCGTGAGTGCTCCTCAGGTGGGTCCTAGCGCAGAGCAGTGTGTCACACACATGTAGTATGGATCACAGTTTGGAAATATCACACACCCTGACATGGGACCATCTCACTCTTCCCTGAATGTGTACTTATCCAAGAAGCATTGGGATTGACATAAGTGGGATGCAAAGATGAAAGCAAAATATTCTGTGTTCAGTGTTGACTTCCAAACTTGGGTTTTGAATTCCATAGTAACGGTTATGACAAATAAGCTTTGCCGTGAGAGAGAAGACATTGTAAATTCCTGGATCGCCCTTCCAAATGCCCAGGGCTAACCCTAGCAGCATGACATGCGGAAGCACGTCAGCCCCCAAGGACAGGGCTCCATTTCATTCATTTCATTTTAGGATATCCAGAGCCTAAAAGTTGCCTAGTGGACGCTCATTCTTATTATCATCTGTGGGAAGGAGAATAGTGGTGTATCCTGCAGTGTAGACAAGGCAGGCATTAGAGCAAAGGGCATTTCCTTCTGTACCAGGACCCAGAGTGCAGATCCCTGGGGCCCAGCCCAGACCTACTAATGCAAAAGCTCAGCGTTAGTGCTGGGAATCTGCACTTTAAACACACGCCCAGATGAGAACATACATAAACACCCTAGCATTTCCTTTGTGCTTTGTCCCAAGCAGGGACTCAGATAGTGGCAGCACCCCAGGATGCTCCTCACACCTGCCCTGGCTGGAGTGCAAGTGGCATCATTGCTGGGAGCTGAGCCCGCAGCTGCTGGCCCCTCCAGGGCCCCTCATCCATAAGTGATGCCTGAAACGTGAGGCCATGCCGCCTCTGCAGGGAAACCTGAGCAGAGGAGTGTGCGGCCGGATTGATGGGCCGGGACCCACAGTCTCCTGCCCCACCTCCCCCCAAACTTACTCCATCTCCACATTGGATGTCACTCCAAGGAGTCCAAGAAGGGAAGCCAGCCACCGAGAGGGAAGGGAAGTTGCCCAAGCTGAAAGTGTGCATGGACAGGCGTGCTGTGTGAGCTCAGGTGAGGACCTCAAGAGCCCTGATGACCATGAGCCGCCAGATAAAGGGTCAGGAAAAGGAAGGTGAGTGTGTCGCTTCGTCCTTGTGGTACCGACCCACAGGGTTCCTGGGCAGTAGGGGGAGCAGACATGGTCTTGAGAGGTACAGGCTTGGGTTTGAGTCCAAGGCCTGCCCCTTGCAAGCTAAGCGACTTCAATCTGGTTACACAATCTCTCCCCATTGCATCATGAGATGAAGGCAGCCCTCACTGCCTTGCAAGGCTATAGAAGGGATTAAAAACAGCCATGCAAAGTACCATGCATAGTACCTCTGTGAATGCGAGTGCTGGAGGCCGCCAGCATCTTTCGGCCTCTGGTTATCTTGGTTAGAGTCATCTTTCCTTCGCAAGCACCTCCGCAGAGTTCCATCTGTCTGTCTGGGGCAGGGAGGTGGGGGCATGTTCTGATCTCCCCTGACTTCTCTAGGGTGTCAGAGAACTGTCACAGGCTGGGGACTCTGACACTTGTTGAGTAAACTCATTGGAGAAACCTCTAGTCTGAGACCACCATGAACCAGTTGCAGGGGTGCCCACAGTAGAATGGGGGTGGTTCCCGGAGATCAGCTCTTTCATCCCCCTTTCTGCCTCTTACAGTGCGAGGTGGAGTGGGAGAAGGGGTGAGGAGCAGCTCTCCACTCACAGGTGAGATGGGGCGATGGGATCCTGGGGAGCCCACAGTGTCTGCTTGCCTCTCCCCCATGCAGCCCAGCCACCCATCAGTGTTCTCGTTCAGCTTTCCTCCCTCTCCTTTGACAGCATGCACACACCTTCCAGAGGCGGGAGACAGAATAGCAGAGGGGACAGAGTGATTGGCAGAGAGGACCTGCCACTCAGCCCTGGGCGTCAGGGGAGGCTCTTGGAGTTAGGGGCACGTAGAGCTGACCCACGGGAAGCAGTGAACCATTGACAGACCAGGGCAGGGGAGCATGGTGCAGGTCGCTGTGATGCAGTGCAGCAGGAACCCACATCAGAGCCACTGACCCCCACCCCCAGGGCTCACCTCAGCCTCCATCAACTACGACAGTGGGTGCCTTCCCATTGGGGATGAAGTCACAGCTCTTCTGTGAGCTGGTGAGGGAGCCAGCCCATTTCAGGAAGCCACAGGATGCCATGATAAGGAGGGGCAGGGCCACCCCCACGGGTTAGACCTCTATACTTCAGGTCACAAAACATCCTTGAGGTCATGTCACTTCCTCCCCTTTACACCTGGCTGACAGGTGAGGAAGCAGAGTCTAGGGGAACGATGGACCCCTGGGGAATTGGAAGAGCTCCCCGCATTCTGAGTGGGAGAGACTGCCCCTGGCCCCCACCCCGACACATCCCAGGGTCCACTCTCACTGACTGCTACCCCACTGTCCTTGGTGAGGCAGCTCTGGGATGAGGAGAGACAGCCGGGAGCAGGAGGCACGGAGAACGGGCAGGAGAAAGAACCATGGATGCAGCTCTGGCATCTTAACACCCTCTGGTCTCTCACCTTGGAGCTACTCCTGGGCCACGTCCCTTCTCCCACCTCACCTGCCTGCCTCATCCGCGCTTTACCGCTTCCGAAGACATGGGGAGCAGGTGCGAGAGTGTGTATGTCCCAGGGTACCCAGATGAGAATCCCCTTCCTCACAGGAGGGGCCGGAGTCAGCATGCTCCTTTGGTGATGGCTGCCTGTAGGAGGCTCAGGGCTGGGTCTCCACATTCCACCTCCCACCCCCCATTGCCCTCTAATACCTGTTCAGCCCCTATCTGGCCTTCCCTGCCCCAGCTCAAGGGCCCGGGCCCTGTGGGGATTACCTCTGGATAAATCCTTGCATAGGACTGCAGTGGAAGGTCGTTTTGCCTAAAGCACAAATCTTTTCTTTCTTTCTTTCTTAATTGCTGCATGCATTTGCCATAGGGAGAGGGAGAGAGAAAGAGGGAGAGAGGGAGAGGGAGAGACGGAGAGGGAGAGAGGGAGAGGGAGAGAGGGAGAGGGAGAGAGGGAGAGGCAGAGAGGAGAAAGCACCCTCAATGGAGATTGCACACCGCAGTCCCTTCTACTCCATTTCTCTACCCTCTTAGGTTTTGGGGCACGCACACACATCTTCCTGTGTGTTTTTCAAGCCACCGGAGTCAGGGCCTGAACCTCAATCAGCCATGTGCTGTCCAGCTCCTTTAACCACTAGATGGCTGGGCCAGCCCAATACAAATCTTTTCCTACTGACATAAGGCCTCCTTCCAGCCATGGTCATTTCCCTTTCCCATAGAAAAAAGGGAATGGGTCAGAATTTTCACTGCAGGGGTCCAAATGGCCAAGGGTACAGAGAAGTGAAATGTTGGGAATCCACTAAGTTAGCTGAAACCCAATGAAAGGTTTCCATTTTTGAATCTCTTCTGCAGTCACCTCTACGGGGATCTGATAGGCCATACCTTTAGGTATTCCTTTCCAAGGAGGAAAAACAAACAAACAAACAAAAAACAGTGTGAAAATATAAAGTTGTGCTTTTCTCAAAATAATTACAATTTGTTATTCCATTAGTTGGAAAGAGGATCTGAACTCTCCCTGCTCCTATATCATTTGGCAAATGAATGAACTGTTAGAATCACCCGACTGGAGGGGGAGTCAGACCCACTGTCACCTTCGGTTTCTCTTGGGCCTCGTTCTTCATTTTGTGACTTCTCTGACGCCAGTCAGGCATACTCATGAGGAGGCCTGTGAGGTTTGCGGGAGCACCTGCCGGGCTCTGAGTTCTTCCGAGCAGACAGCTGCCTCTCCAGCTCCTAAATTATGCATTCATGGAGTCCATTGGAAGCTGACTATGAAAGAAAAAAGAAAGCAGCTGGCTTTCTGTGTAGAAGAGTAAAGGATATGTTCCGGCTTGTTTTTCCACATTCCATGTGAATGTCATCCCACTGAGACATGAGATTATAATAGGAATTGCAGCTTGGAAAAAAAAGATTGTAAACTGCCTAGTTATATCTACGATGTAACAGTGTATCACAATGTCAAGATTGTGACAGCAAAACCCTCTCTTTAAAAAAAAGAAGTGGAAGGACCAGCAGTTGGCTTAATGGCTATGTCACTGGACCCCCTTGTAGTTGACCGTGGTTCGAGTCCCAGACCCAGGACTGGGTTAAACTCATGCTGGGTGCATGTGCGTGAGTGCCCAAGATCCTGAGAGGAGAGCAGAGGAGAAGGGATTGCAGTGTGGCCATCCCCCCCAAGGAGTGATTTCTTGCTTTCCATCTCTCTGTCTCTCTGTGTCTTTCTGGCAAGAGCACACTTACTATAGCAAAAATCTCTAAAAAAAAAAAAAAGAAGAAGAAGAAGTGGAGGCGTAATAGTTATGTCACTGGACTTCCACGTAGTCAACCACAGTTCAAGTCCTGGACCCGATGACTTAAAACTCATGCTGGGCACGTGTGCATGTGTGTATCCTCCTCCTAGAGGAGGATGGAGAAGAAGGGATTGTGGTGTGGTCATCCTCCTGGGGAGTGATTTCTCGCTTTCTGTCTCTACAGCAAGCACATGTGCCCTATAGCAAAAGTCTCTCTCTAATTTTAAGAAAAAAAAAAAAGTGGGGGCCAACTCGTGGTGCTGAAGGTGACTGGATCCAAGATGACCAACCACACAGTTTGGCTGCAGACAGAGCAGTTGGAGAAACACTCTGGGCATGTGTGTATGTATGTGTCTGAAATTTCAAAAGGAGGGAGAGATGGAGGAGAAGGGATTGTAGAGACCCTCCCTCAAGGGGAGTGCTTACTCATTCTCTCTCTCTCTGTCTCTCTCTCTCTCTCTCTGACGAGCACACACGCCTTCTGGCAATTTTTTAAAATTGAAGTAATAATATAAATAAATAAATAAATAAATAAAAAGAAGGGGCAAAAAATTAAAAAGACAAAGAAATGTGACTCCAGAAGGTGATTAGAGGCCATCAATAGGGATGGTCTCCCAGTAGTTTGTGGACAGTTTATGTCTCTTTAATTGAAAGACATCATTGGAGCTGTAGCCAACGATCAGCTCCTCAAGAGTGCTGGGCCAGCAGGTGGCATGGTGGTAAAGGTGCCACACCTCACCTGGCTGACTCCGACAGTTTGAGTCAGGCACAGAGGTTTGAAAAACACGTCAGATGCATATGTGGGCAAGCCCAAAAATCCCTAGAGGAGAATGCATCCCAAGAAGAGAATGGAAAAGAAGGGATTGTGGCATGGTCATACCTCCTCAGAGGGGGATTTCTCACTTTCCCTCTCTCTACCTCCCTTGGCGAGCACACACAGCCTATGGCAAAAATCTAAAAATAAGTAAATAAAAGAGGACCACCACTGTGTTAGTTGTTCACTGTACAAATTGGGCTTTTGAGATAGTTATTTGTTGAAGACAAAACCTGGCCTACAGCTGAATTTTCAAAAAAGGTTTGGGGGGACCAGCTGGTGGTGTAGTAGTTAAGGCGCTGGACTCTCGCGTGGTCAATTGCTATTCAAGGCCCAGACCTGGCAGCTTAAAACTCACACCAGGCACAGGTGCATGTGTGTCCAGAATCCTGAGAGGAGAATTGAGGAGAAGGGATAGTGGTATGGCCATCCCCCTGAGGAGTAAGTTCTCACTTTCTATGTCTCTGTCTCTTTGTCTCACCAGCAAGTGCTCATGCCCTATAGCAAAAGCCTCACAAAAGAAAAAAAAAAAAAAGCTTTGGGGAATAAAACCAGTGAGGAAGTAAAATGGATATGCTGTTCGGTTTAACCGTGTCCTTACTGACGATCTCCCTGTTGGTTCTCAGTCGCTGATAGAGGGGTGTTGGTGTCTCCAACAATCACAACGGGTTTGTGTGTTTCCCCTGACAGTTCTATCAGTTTTGCCTCCCATATTTTGGCACTCTTATTAGACAAACAAACATCAAGGATTGTTATATTTTCTTGGGGAATTGATCCCTTTCTAATGATGTATTGCCCTTCTTCATACTTGATCATTTTCCTTGCTCTAAAATCTGCTGTGTCTGAAATTAATACAGTCACTCCAGCTTTCTTTTGATTAGAGTTTGTCTGGTATATCTTCTTCCAACTTTTAATCTATATGTGTCCTTTTTTTTTTTTTTTTTTTTTTGACAGATTTTTGCTATAGGCTGCATGCACTTGCCAGAGAGGCAGAGACAGAGAGAAAGAAAGTGAAAAGTCAAACCCCCGTCCCCCCACAGGGGGAATGGCCATGCCGCAATTCTTTCTCCTTCATTCCCCTCTCTGGATTTTGTGTGTGCACATACATGCATGCCTGGTGTGAGCTTCAAGACTCTGGGTCCAGGACTCAAACTGCAGTCAGCCACGTGGGAGTCAAGCACCTTAACCACTACGCCACCTGCTGGCCCCTATATGTGTCTTTATATCTACATTGGACTTCTTGTAGACAATCTATCTATACGTGGGTCTTGTTTTCTAATCCATTCTGACAATCTTTCTTTAATTGGTCTATGCAGTTTGTTTACAATTAGAGCAATGATTGATATGGTTAGATTCATATTGTTGATAGTCATTGCTATTTTCTATTTGTTGTTCTTGTTCTTATTTTTAAATTATTTATTTAATTTTATTTATTATTTTTTAAAACTTTATTTAGTTAGTTATTTTTAGTTTGACCAGAGAGGGACAGAGCAAGAAAGAGAGAAAGCGAGAAAGCAAGCTGCCAGGTCCAGGACTCAGACCATGGTCAGTCATGTGGGAGTCCAGCACCCTTCATCACAATGCCATCTGCCAGCCCCAAATTTTATTTATTATTATTATTTTTAAATTTGCTATAGCGCACATGTGCTCACACAGAGAAAGAGACAGAGAAGGAAAGTGAGAAAACGATCCACCAGGTTTGGGACTCAAACCATGGTTGGCCATGTGGGAGTCGAGCACCGTAACCACCATGCTACCTGCTAACCCCTCTTGTTCTTACTTTAGCTTCCACTCTTTTTTCTGCCTTTTGTGATTTAGACTGAACATTTTGTGATTCCAGTTTCTCTTCTTCACTAGCATATCAATTTTACTTCCTTTTTTTAAAAAAACACCTTTTAGTGTTGGCTCTAGAATTTGCGATATACATTTATAGCTAATCCAGGCCTACGTCCAGATAACACACTATTTCCGGAGTAGCGCAGCTCCTCTGTAATGAAATATTCGCAATTCTTCCCTCCCACCCCTTTGACATTGCTGTCATTCATTCCTCTCATCCATGTCTATTGACTTACCTTCCACTCATTGCCTCTTTCCTTGATGTGACGAATCTACTAATGAGCCCATCGAAGGTATCCTTCATTTCTGTTACCGTGTTTCGTTTCTCCCGCTAGTTTACTATCACTTAAAATTTGTCTCCCTGTTTCTATTACTCATCTGTTCTTGCGTTTCACTTTTTCCATTAGATTTCTTAACAGATGAATCAGTTCATTTGAATTCCCAGTCTAGTAATTCTAAAGTATTTGTCATACCCGACTCCGGTTCGAATACTTGCTGTCTCTTCAGACTATTTTTGCCTTTTACTATGCCTCGCCATTTTGTTGTGGCTGTTCAAAGCTGAATGTGTCATCCTGGGTGAAAGAAACTCCAACAAACGGACCTTTTGTGAGGTTGTGTGCTTATCTGGCAAGAAGCTGGGCTGTGCTACTGTTTTCCGTAGCTGTAGGTGTCAGAGGACACAGTTTCCTCCAGCGTCATTGTTAATGTTTTCAAGTGTCCCTCAAAACTCCCACTAGTGGTGAGCCAAAATCAGGCTCGAGACGGGCTGAGATTCAGAGGGAAGTCTAAGCACAAGCATGCACACCAACAGCTTAGTCGAAGATCCTGAACTAGGAGGTGTGGACACTTGTTATTAATACCAGAACCTCATTAGAACTTTCCTGTATGTGGTTTGTAAACGTCTATATGGATCATTGAGCTTGAACTAGCTGTTGGGCAAAATGCTGGGGAAAGCTCGAACTACAAAGTAGATTCTGTTCAATCAGACCATTTGTTAGCGCTACGAAGTCACTGTTAAAATATACACACCAGGGGCCAGCAGGTGGTGTGGTGGTTAAGGTGGCTGGACGCCCACATGGCTGACCACGGTTCGAGTCCTGGACTATTTTTCCTCTTCCTCTCTGTCTCTCTCTAGTCAACTTTAAAAATAAAATAAAATAATGACAATGAAAACAATTAAATAATTCTTTAAAAAACAAAATAATAAAATAAACACAGCCACACATACACACATCTAGACAGTGCGAGGAACAGGACCTCAGCTAGCTCAGCAGCCTCACCTCCAACACCCATCTTCATGCCAGGGAAGGAAGAGCAGGGAGAACAGAGCCCGCCAGGCCATTCCTGTCTCAGCGGTCCAGGCTTGCCAGACAGAAGCCACGCTTGGCCTCGGCACTGGGGGTTAGGACATGACTCAGCTTTGACCTCAAAGAACTTTAAGGGAGGAGGGAAGGCACCCACCTAGATCTCTACCCGCGCTTTAGGCAAGGGTGTGAGAGAGCCAGCAGGGCAAAAGAGGGAGAGAATAATTCTCAGTCCAGACCAGAGCCTTCTAAAATGGGAACTGTAGGGGAGAAACGATCCTTTCCTCACCCTTCACAAGGTTCATGATAGAGAATGAAAGACAGATGAACAGGAGAAAAGCATTTGGATTTACTTAGTACAAGTGTTACGTGATCCAGGAGCCTTTAGAAATGAAGACCCCCCCCCCAAAAGCAGAGAGAACTACATGTTTATGGACAGCGTTGCAGAAGTAGGACTGGAGGACAAAAGATCGTATGATCAGTGGTGATGGGTAACAGTAACAAACTAGGGGGAGGCAGTGAGGCCTGCTTCTCCAGAGTCTTTCGGCCTCTCTGTGTGACATTTCTTCTCTTCCTGTATGGGGCAGGACATCTGCCACATGAAGGTCCTCAGAAGAAAAGGGATGACAAAGGTCAGAGAGTGACATTACATTCCTCTTCGGCAGTTTTCTATTTCCTTCAGCCTAACACACTCAGTATGCCAAGGTGCCATATTTTGGGGCCTCTTGTTCGACCCCCAACCGAGCTATCAAACTCCATGAAGCATCTTGGGTTTTGGACTTCTCATGGCTGGGGTTACTTTCCTGGGGTCAAGGTCAGTGGAGCAAGAACTGTCTCTTTCCTGCTCCTGTAGGTGACAGATCGGGGAGGAGACCCTCAAGCAAGCAAGTTCCCAAAGCCCAGGGTCCACCCAGCAGGCGTGGAGCTCAGTCTGGCCAGAGGGAACGGGCTGGGGGAAGCCCAAGGCCAGGGTCCCCCCGGAGGAAGCAGACAGATCACGGGAGGCGCCATGAAGAGCCAGGAGCACGAGAGCGGAGCAACACACAGAGGACCTCCGAGAAGAAGAGGAAGAGGGACGGGAGAGCTTCCCTCAAGGAGCAGAGAGCACCCTCAAAGAAGGCAAAGGAGGTTCCAAGGAAGGAGGAGACAGGGAAGCGGCTAAAGAAATCCAGGTGTGTTGTGGCTCTGATTCAGGTGTGAGCTCCTTGTCCTCTCCCGCTCTTTTCTGAATCCTCTCCTTTACCTGATGAGGTGCTGGTGTCTGGTCCTTTGCAGAGGCAGCCCCTGTTCTCTCGCCTACTTCCATTTTCCCCTGCTTTTGCCCTGCTCTGGGGCAGAACCCAAGCCTGGATGAGGACCCCAGGTCATCACAGGTGGATCACTGGGCCCTTCAACTCCAGCAATGCATGCACCACACAGGTGCAAGGGATCTGAGAAGGGAGGTAACATGGTAGCAGGGTAGATCAAGACCCCAAGCCCTCTGATTTCAGCTGGTGACTGGCCAGCTTGAAGAGGAAGGATTTAAAGAAATTAACAAAATTGGGGGACCAGCAGTTAGCATAATAGCTATGTCGCTGGACACCCATGTAGTCAACTGCGGTTTGAGTCCCGGACCTGGTGGCTTAAACTCACGCTGGGCGCGTGTGCATGCGTGCCCAAGATCCCGAGAGGAGAAAGGAGGAGAAGAGATTGCGGCGTGGCCATCCTCCCTGGGGGGGGAGGGGTGATTTCCTCGCTTTCTGTCTCTCTTTCTGGCTAGCGCATGCGCCCTATAGCAAAAACCTCTCCAAAAAATAAAAGAAAAAAATTAAAATTGAATCTAGGAATGATTGGTGGACTCGGGCACAACCCTTCCCTTTCTGGACCCGTTTCTTCTTCTGGAAAGGAGGCATTGGTCTAGAAATTCCAGGTTTCTACCAGCTCTAGAATTCTAGGACCTGAGAGGCACACCCCTTCCCTTTCTGGACCTGTTTCTTCTTCTGGAGAGGAGGCGTTGGTCTAGAACTTCCAGGGTTCTACCAGCTCTAGAATTCTAGGACCTGGGAATTTGTTTCGTCTCCTTTGTTCTATGAGCATTAGTGTACACAGGACACAGTCACTTTTGAAACCAGCAAGTTGCGATTTTCATTCCATTTTTTTGCTGCTAATTTTGATGGGACCTCTCTCTCTCTCTCTCTCTCTCTCTCTTTCTCTTTCTCTCGCCAATACATCTCTTCTTTACTCATTTGGGATAACATATGTCTTACTCACTTCTCAGAATTTTTAAAGACTCTCTTGTGAAGGGGCCAGCAGGTAGCATAGTGGTTAAGGCACTGGACTCCCACCTAGTTGACAAAGGTTCAAGTCCTGGACCTGGCAGCTTGAAACCCACGCTGGATGTGTATGTGTATGTGCCCCAAATCCAAGAAGAGAATGAGGAGAAGGGATTTCAGTGTGGCCATCAATCCTGGGGGGTGACTTCTCACTTTCTTTCTGTCTCTCCAGCGAGTACACTTGCCATGTAGCAAAAATCCATCTTAAAACGGGGGGGGGGCGGGGGTAGCTCTTGTGACAATGGATGAGGAGACTTTTTTAAAAAGCTTATTTCTTCAGAGAGAAAGAAAGAGGTGGGGAAAAGGGAGAGATGGGCACCCCAGCCCCAGGTAGAATCAGGCCCTACGCATTCTTGGCGGGTGCATGGAAACCTCCCCAAGAGAACTCTCTCCCCACCTGGATTCAGCACCAGGACAGCACTGCCTCACTGCACACCACCTGGGCTGGCCCAGACAGGGAGGCCTTTGAAACAATTCCAAGCATTAGGATTATGGCAAAGAGCTGATGTTCTTTCAGATTGAGTTTTCTTTTTTTTTAAGAGATATTTTATATGGGGCACATGCACTTGCCAGAGAAATACAGAGAGACAGAGGAACAGAAAGTGAGAAATCACCCCCTCAAAGGAGATGGCCACACCACAGTCCCCTCTCCTCCATTCTCCTCTCGGGATTTTTGGGCACACATGCACACGTGCCTGTCTGAGTTTCAAGCTGCCAAGTCCAGGACTTGAGCCATGTTCTACTACATGGGAGTCCAGCAATGTAACCATTATGCCATCTGCTGGCCCTCTTTCCCACTAGGTTCTAACAGACCTTCTTTGCCCACACCTCTCATCAGGTGTTCTAACATTTCTCTTCAGCTTTGCAGAGAAGAACTAGGCCCTCAAAAGAGGCCACCAAAGTCTTCTGTCACTCACACCCAGCATCCTGGGCTAGGGCCATTGTCTACTATCTGGTTGTTGCCAGACTTGAGCTGATGGGTAGAAGATGCACCGTGCCTATGGCAACTTCCAGAGAACTTGAATGCATCATTGATGGATCGTGAGGTGTTCTGAGCTTTAGAGGAAGCTTATACCACCCCAAAGAGACCATAGGGGCCCAAAAGGCAGATGCAAAGTAAGAGACACAGACAAGAACCTGTTCATGCCGTTTTCAGCTGAGTACCATGACAGAGCATAGAGAGATGAAAAAGACTCAGTCATAATTCCCCACTCTGGCAGTGGAAATAAGACGGTATAATGGTTACGTTGCTGGCCTCCCACATGGTCAGCCATAGGTTGAGTTCCAGACTCGGTGGCTTAAAACTCATGCTGAGTGCATGTGTGCCCAACATCCTGAGAGGAGAATGGAGAAGGGAATTCAGCATGGCTACCCTCCCTAGGGGGGTCATTTTTTTGCTTTCTGTCTCTCCAGTGAGCACATGTGTCCTATAGTTACAAAAAAAAATCTATCTTTAAAAAAGAAGAAGACATAGGTATCATCTAAGTCAAGGTGGAGAGCAATGTGTATATAAGACGGGATTTGATGGAGGGCTAAATTCTGGGGTGCTGGGGTATGAGGGTTCCTTTGTGGAGAAGGTAAGCATTTCAGTAGGCTTTGAAGAACAGGTAGAATTTGAACAATGACTGAATGCCCCCATCCCCTGGAATGTGAGAGCACTCTATGCAAAGTCTCGAAGGCAGTTATCACAGGGAGTTCGTGAGGTGCAGAAAAAAGAGACAAATCCCCATTTTCTAGGCTTTCCGATGTTCAAGGGCATCCTGAGACTTCCTTTGTTCCTCAGGAGCTAAAACTCAGAGGCTGCTCAAATGGGTCTCTACATAATCTGCCCACATCCTGAACCTTCCCTTTGTGAAACTTATTCAGGCTGCCCAGGCAAAGTCTTCTCCTTCCCCTGCCCTGCTGGCCACTGTCACGGTCTGCTGAGAGTCACTGGTTTTTTAGATTTTTTTTTTTCCCCATAGGGCACATGCACTCACCAGAGAGACAGAAAGAGAGAAAAAGGAAGAAATCATCCCCTGGGGGGTTGGCCATACCACAATCCCTTCTCCTTCATTCTCCTCTTGGGCTTTTGGGCATACATGCACATGCACCCAGTGTGTTTTTCAGGCTGCCGGGTTCAGGACTCAAATCGTGGAGTCACCTACGTGGGATCCAGTGCCTTAACCACCAAGCCACCTGCTGGCCCAAGAGTCATTATCTTTTTTTTTTTTTTTTTTTTTGGAGGCTTTTGCGCACGTGCATTCGCCAGAAAAACAGAAAGAGACAGAGAGACAGAAAGGAAGAAATCCCCCCCCAGAGGGGATGGCCACACCGCAATCCCTTTCCTCCATTCTCCTCTTGGGATCTTGGGCACGCTCACACACACACGTGCCCAGTGTGAGTTTAAGCCATCGGGTCCAGGACTTGAACCACGGTCGACTACATGGGAGTCCAGCAATATAGCCATTACACCAACTGCTGGTCCCAGAGTCACTATCTTAATCACTGACGGAGTCAGAGTAGCCCATAGACTGAAGAACATGCACAATAGTTTGAACTTGTGACAGCTGAGCCCACAGTGTGGCGGGCAATGAGGAGGGGTCATTGCACAGGGTGGCTTCCCTTAGGAAGTCCTCCATAGCAGTGCTGTTGGCATCCTAGTCACTAACTGCGTGGGACTGCTGAGCACTTGGAATGTGGCTGGTGTGACTGAGGATTTGGATTTCTCATTTAATTTTAATTCAACGTTAATACCGCAGAGCTGTCATAAGAATTAGTGAATTTCCTTAACTTGGATGTTCAGTCATACTTTTGAAACCGATTTGATTTGACACTGAAGTCAAAGCATTTCTTCTACAAAAAGACAAATTGGTTTTGGTTTCTAGCCCTGAGGTCTTGCAGTTACGGAGGCTGGATACCACATGGCCAACCACACAGTTCAAATCCTGGACATAGAGGCCTGAAAAGCACCCCAGTCATGTTTGCATGTATGCCCAAAATCCCTTGAGAGGAGAAATAGAGGAGAAGGGATTTCAGTGTGACCAAACCCCTTTCAGGGGAGCTTTCTCTCTCTCCTCCTCTCTTTCTCTGTCTCTCTGGTGAGTGCACGTGCACTAATAGGAGAAAAACAAAAAGACTAATAGTTTCATCGATGCAAATGCAAATATCAAAGGAAGATGATATTTTACTATTTGATTCAATTATTGAAAAACTTTAAAGTGTATCTAAAATAGTTTGGGCATATGAACCTACTTTTCAAGTATAAATATATAAAATCCAAACACAGGGCCAGCAGTGGCATGGTGGTTAAGGTACTGGATCCCACATGGCAAACTGTAAAGTTCTAATCCTGACTTAGCAGCTTGAAAAACACAGAGCTCTGCCTGCATGCCTAAAATTCCAAGAGGAGAATGGAGAAGAAGGGGTTGAGGTGTGGTCAACCTGCCTAAGGAGTGATTTCTTACTTTCCCTCTCTCTGTCTCTCTTTGCCTCTCTTTTGGTAGAGGCAAAAACCTCTACCAGAAAAAAAAAGTCTAATGAAAGTTTGATACCTGAAATGACACGCACCATGAGTACAAAATGAACACTGGATTTTAAAGACAGTGGTTGTTTTTGTTTGTTTGTTTTTTAAGAGAGATTCTTTTGGCTATAGGGCACGTGTGCTCGCCAGAGAGACAGAGACATAAAGCAAGAAATCAATCCTCAGAGGAGATGGCTATGCCACAATCCCTTCTCCTCCATTCTTCTCTAGGGATTTTGGGCACACTTGCACATGTGCCCAGTGTGAGTTTTAAGCTGCTCGGTCCAGGACTTGAACCACATTCAACTATGTGGGAGTTCAGCAATGTAACCATTACACCATCTGCTGGTCCCTGAAGACAGTATTTTTAAAAAGACTGTAAATATCTAACGAATTTATTTTGGTTACATGTCGAAATCATACCTTTTTGTTATCAGAGAAAATGAAATGTATTCTTAACATTAATGTATCTATTTCATGTTACTGTTTTAGTGTGGCTAAAATTTGTGTGTACTAGAAAATTTTATAATAAATGGTTCACAGGGCCAGTAGGTAGTGTAGTGATTAAGGAATTGAACTCCCACACAGCTGACCATGGTTTGAGTTTCAGACCCAGTAGCTTGAAACACATCAGGCACATATGCATGCATGCCCAAAATCCCAAGAGAATGGATGAGAAGGGATTGCAGCCTAGCTATTCAGTTATGGGGGTGTGTGTGTGTGTGTGTGTGTGATTTCTCACTGTCTCTCTATTTCTGTCTCTTTGGCGAGCACATTGCCCTACAACAAAAATCTCTCAATCAAAAAACAGAAAGCAAAAATCAAAACAATACGTGGTTCACTCCAGCACTGTGCTGCAGCGTGCTGTGTAGGGAGGACTCAAAAGAAATCGAGTTTGGGAGGCAGCCCTCTGGTGCACTGGACTACAGGATAGAGTTTGGCCTCTCGTGATAGGTGGCGGGTGTGATTGACGGCTTTTGAGCAGGAGTGGGCGTGGTGGACCATGGCGCGTCAAGGACGCGCTTTGCCATCTCGCCTGTGCAAGCCCGCGTTCCAGAGCACACGAGGACGCCCACTTCCTTTTCAACTCTCCTCTTCCTGTGCCCTGACTCTGCCTCCAGATCATCCTCCTTGGCCTCCAGTGCCTCTGGAGGGGAGTCCCTGTCTGAAGAGGAACTGGCCAGGATCCTGGAGCAGGTGGAAGAGAAAAAGCAGCTCATCGCCACCATGCGGAACAAGCCGTGGCCCATGCAGAAGAAGCTGGCAGAGCTCAGGTGAGTAGGCTGGCAGTTGACATGGCCTCCCCTGTCCAAAAGCTTTAACTCCTTCTGATGGGAATGGGAGGCCCTTCCTCCTTGCTGCCCTAAGGGGGCTTGACATGAGCAGAGTCACCCTTCCAAATTCCCCAGTCAGAGCACGGCTCTCCGGGAGCCCCATTAATACCAATGCAGGCCCTGCTGTTCTCCAGCATCAAGCAGGGACTAGAGGGGGAAAGAAGACTCAGTGATTCTTATCTGGGCCCAAGTCTCTCCATTGCCTGCCTGCCCTTCTGTCCTATGTCCCACCTCACCTGGTGGCCTCTGTGTCTCCCTCACACCCCAACACAGACATGCTTTCCCTGGGGAAGACCTTCCTCCTCAACCACATCGGCCCTCCCCTGTATGTATGTGTGTGTGTGTGTGTGTGTGTTTGTTTGTGTGTGTGTGTATTTTTGAGAGGTTTTTGCTATAGGTTGCATGCACTCGCCAGAAAGAGAGAGACAGAGAGACAGAAAGCAAGAAATCACCCCCCAGGTGAGATGGCCACTCGCAATCCCTTCTCCTCCATTCTCCTCTCAGGATCTTGGGCATGCACAAACACGCGCCCAGCATGAGTTTTAAGCCACTGGGCCTGGGACTCGAACTGCGGTCGACTACATGGGAGTCCAGCAACATAGCCATTACACTAACTGTTGGTCCCTCCCATGTGTTTTTAAGCACCCAGCGTTTTCCTGTGTGCAGCGCACCCTCACTTGCTGTGATTTGTACAATGATGGGGAGAAGGTCTGCTTAGCTACTCACTCATCCCCATTGCCTGACACAAGGCCAGGCTGGTGAGGGCACTCCGACATATTGTTCTATGAATGACAGCTGGCCTCCTACATGCCCATGCGTGTACCCATGCCATGCACCTCTGTGCCTGTGCATGTAGCCACGCACCTCCTGTATCAATTCAGCTGCTTCTCTAGTTTCCAAATGAGAGGCTGACACATCAAGCCTTTTATGATTTTTGAGTCTCTGCTGCGGTTTTGAAATAAGAGCAGAAGTCACATTGCATAAACTTCTTGAATTTTTTTCTTTCTTTTTTTTCAGTACATTTTTTTCATAAGAGCGAGGGACAGAGAGAGAGGTTAGCACCTCCACAGGGTTTTGTGCTGCAATCCCCCTGCACACCATCCCAGCCAGCCAGGAACATGAGCAAATGCTCCTGGTACGTCGTTCCACAGGGGAACCAAACCCGCCACCTTCCATATGGCTTCAACTTAGCTTGAGCAATGTGTTACCATTGTGCCACCTTTCCATGTGAGTCATGTTGTGTTACCACCACCTGGCACTTTAATTTAAATTTATGTACAGGGGCCGGCAGGTGGCATGGTGGTTAAAGGCGCTGGATTCCCACATGGCTGACTGTGGTTCTAGTCTTGGACCTGGAGGCTTGCTTTCTCACTTTCCCTTTCTCTCTTGTCTGGTCAAATCAAAAAATAATAATAACTAGTGAAAATAAATAAAATAATTCTTTGTTAAAAATTTATGTACAGCTTGGTGACTGTAGTTAGTAACAATGTAGTGCAAATTTGAAAATTGTTAAGAGCACATTTTACATGTTCTCAACTGCAAAAAGAAAAAAAATAAGTATACGATGTAATGCATGTTAATTAGCTTAATTTAGCCATTCCACAATGTATACATATATCAAAACATCATGATGTACACCATATATATGTACAACTTTTTTGTCGATAAACCTATAAAATAGAAATAAATATTCATACAGGCACACTTGGTGAGCAGCTAAAGCGTGGAGGCTTGGTGCAGCCCCAGGCAGTGGGCTCACTTCCTTCCCAACCTCCCTTTCTGGAGTCTTCCCCCCCGACTCCCCCCACACACACCCCCCCGCTCTCTCCAGGATGGGTTCTTTGTCCTGTCAGCAGAACAGCCACCTGTCACTCTAACAGAACCTCACCCCCACTCAGGTGTCACCTGAACACATCTTTTATTAACAGTGGAAAAGAGTGACCTTGAAGCGTATGGCAATGAGATCTCCAGCTGACTGGAAGTCTCGGGGACCATGAAAATCCCTGAGGACTGTTCAGCTGTGAGGAGCGAAATCTGGCATCTCCTCCTCACCTCTGAGAGGTGGAGTTCCCGTTCCTGGAAGGGTGGACTGTAGCTGAGGCCTGAGAAGCTGAAGAGACCGAGGTCTCTCACAGGTGCAGGTCTTTCTGGCAAACAGTGGGTCTCTTCCCTCCAGGCTTCCCTCCTTCTTCCCTCTCCATCCCTGAGACTCCTTATTCTAGGTTCAAGTCTGAGGCTCTCCAGCCTGTGTGCCTCCACTCAAGCCAGTGTCTCTGCCTAGATCTTTGCTTTCTGCCATCCACCTGGCTAATTCCTACACACCTTGGAAGACTCGGGCCAAGTGTCCCCTCTGCAAAAGGAGTCCCCATTGCCCCTCGCCACACTCAGGTGGAGTTATTTGCTGGCCCTCTGATCCCCAAGGCACGCCTTCCTCACTTGGCTAAATGAAGAACTAACTGTGTCTCCTTCATCGCTTAATATGCTTCCTTTTCTTTCTTTCTTTCTTTTTCTTTGAGAGGTTTTTGCTATAGGGCACATGCGCTCACCAGAAAGACAGAGAGACAGAAAGTGAGAAATCATCTCCCAGGGGGGAATGGCCATGCTTCAATCCCTTCTCCTCATTCTCCTCTCAGGATCTTGGGCATGCATGCACACACGCCTGGCGTGAGTTTAAGCCACGGGGTCCAGGACTCAAACCGCGGTCGACTACATGGGAGTCCAGCGACATAGCCATTACGCTAACTGCTGGTCCCAATATGCTTCCCTTTCAGCCTGGCCTCAGTGACGCAGTTGGTAGCGTACTGTGCTGGCTGCCATGTTGCCCTCAGTGGGCATGGATCCCTAGCCTAGTCCTCCCAAAACACACTGAGTGCACACACATGTGCCCAAGATCCTGACAAACTGCAGGAGATCACAGCATGTCAAGATCCAGTCAAGGTGGGAACCAGCAGTTAGCGTAATGGCTATGTCGCTGGACTCCCACGTAGTCGACCGCGGTTCGTGTCCCGGACCCGGTGGCTTAAAACTCACGCCGGGCGCGTGTGCGTGTGTGCCCAAGATCCCGAGAGGAGAATGGAGGAGAAGGGATTGCGGCGTGACCATCCCCCCTGGGGGGTGATTTCTCGCTTTCTGTCTTTATGTCTCTCTGCCTGTCTGGCGAGCGCACGCGCCCTACAGTGAAAATCTCTCCAAAAAAAAAAAGATCCAGTCAAGGTTGCTTATTTCTCTCTTGCGTGCACATGTGCTATCTATCATGAGTTAAATAAGCTAAATTTTGCATATAGCCAACATTTGTTGAGCGCTCTCAGAAACTACATGCTTATATGTATAACAGTTTATCTAATCCTCACAACCATTCTATGATGTAGGTATTATTATTGTTCCCATTTTTTTTTTAATTTGTAAGAAGGCCTGTGCACTTGCCAGAGAGAGACAGAGACACAGAGAGAGAGAAGAAGAGGGAGGAAGTGCCTCCTAATGGGGCATGGTCTCGCCACAATCCCTTCTCCATTTCACCATCCTGTCTCGATTTTGGATGCACAGTTGCCTAGTGTGTTTTTCTTTTTTAAAGACTTTATTTATTTATATATATATTTATGATTATTTATACATTAAATCGCTATACATCATTTAGATTATGAAGAGACTTTACCTAGCATAATATACACCTCAGTCCAGCCCAGCCTAGGGTGTTTTTCAAGCTGCCAGGTACGGAGTTGAAACCACATGGTCAGCCATGTGGAATCCAGCTCTCTTAACCACTAGGCCACTGCACCAGCCCTGTTGTCCCCATTTTATTGGTGAGGAAACTGAGTCAGAGAGCATTCAAATAATTTGTCCAAGGTCACAGGGCAAGTTAAGTAGCATAGCCAGAATTCGAGCTGAGGAATTCTAGCTACAGAGCCTGCTCTTTGATTTGCAGTCCCCTCTCCAGATTTAATTATATAACCTTGAATGGACCCTTTTGCCCTTCATATGATTTTCTCTTCTGGAAGTAAATGTTCATGGACACAAAGCATCCCCAGACTACTCCTTTTCAGGAGCAATGGTGAGGGGACCTAGGGACCCCAGCCCTGGCCCAGTCAGGCAGTGGCTCATCTGAGCATAGTTGTGGTAGACTATCTAAGAAGATGGACCAGTAGACAGCACAATGGTTACATCACTGGACTCCCACATGGTTGACCGTGGTTTGAGTCCCAGACCTGGTGGCTTGAACCTCATGCCAGGTGCATGTATGTGTGTGCCCAAAATCCTGAGAGAAAAATAGAGGAGGAGGGTTCATAGCATGGCCATCCCCTCTGGGGGAAGAGGGTGATTTCTTGCTTTCTGTCTCTTTGTCTCTCTCTGCCTTTCTGGCAAGCATACTCATCCTATAGCAAAAATCTCTCTGGAAAAACAAAAAAGAAGTATGGCGAAGTGTAAAAAACATGAGTCAAGGTGATCCTGGGTCTGCACCTCTGCCACATCCAGGGATACTGGCTAGCTACTCAGTCTCTCTCAGGTAGACTTCCTTCTCTCAAACTCTCTGAGCTTCACATTCCTCATTTGTAAAGTTGGGGTAGTAATATCTACTTCACAGGGTGGTTCTAATGAATTAAAAATATTTAATATTAAGTGCCTAGCACATAATATATAATCAGTAAATAGCAGTTATTGTTATTACTAAAGCCTGAACATCTTTTTTGTACCAGACACTATGCTGAGCCCTCCGAGATGAGTTTGGGAAGCAAAAATGGATGGGGGAAGCATGAACACCATTAATAATAATACAAGGGGGACCAGCAGGTGGCGTAGTGGTTATGGCACTGGACTCCCACATGTTCAAGTCAGAGGATTCCGGCTTGAAACGCATGTTGGGTGCATGTGTGTGCATGGCCAAAATCCCAATAGGAGAATGGGGGAGAAGAGATTGTGGTGTGGTCATCCTCTCGAGGGGGGTGCTTTCTCACTTTCTGTATCTCTGTCTTTCTCTGTCTCTCTGGCTAGTGTACATGCCCTGTAGCAAAAATCTCTTTCTCAAAAACAGAAAAAGAGGAAGACAAAGAATGGTAAGGACAATATATTGGAAAATATCAATTATTTTCTTTCTTTTGAAGTTTTAAAATTACATTTGACAGGGGCCATCAGGAGGCATGGTTGTTGGAATGCTGGACTCCCACGTGGTTGACTGCAATTCAAGTCCTGGACCTGGCACCTTGCTTTCTCACTTTTCTATCTGTCTGTCTCTAGTCAAATTTTAAAAAGTATAATAATAAAAAAATTAAAATCTAAAAAACACATTGGACAATTTTCAAGACTCAAGCCATGCAGTTAGCCACATCAACCACTACATTACCAGTTGGATATATATATATATGTGTGTGTGTGTGTGTGTGTGTGTGTGTGTGTGTATGTGTGTGTGTGTGTGTGTGTGTGTTTACAGTATTCTTTTTCTCCCAAGAGTGAGAGCGACATCATCCCTAATAGGATCCTAAGAGTGAGAGCGACATCTTCCCCACCATGATCTGTCCCCTGTCTTCAGCAGCTCTCGATTATGGGCAGGTATGTGCCTGATATCCTCAGGGGAGTCTTAAGACTTGAACTGGAAACCTTCCCATGTGGGATTTCCTCACAGAATATCATGTTTTAATGCTGTCTAGCCACTGTCTGGCCCTACTTTATTAGTTTTCTATCATTCTTATAATAGATTGCTACATGCTTAATAGTTTAAAACAGCACTTATTTATTATTAACATCTCACAGGTCTATAAATCAGAAGTCCAACTTGGCATGATTGAGCTTTCTGCTTAGGAGCTCATCAGTGTGTCTGCAGGGCTGAAGTTCTCATCTGGGGCTCAAGATCCTCTTGCAAGTTCATGGATGTTGGCAGATTTCCTTTCCTTTCTGTACTTTCTACGTGGCCTCTTCCCGAGAGTCGCCAGCAACAGAGAGTCAAGTATTTTTCCTCTTCTAAGTCCCGTGACTTCTCCTTTTGCCACATCTCTCTGACTCTTACACCTTCCTCATCAAGGGCTTATGTGATCCCATTGGGCCCATCCACATCATCAAAATAATGTCCTTTCTTTAAAGTCAGTAACTTTAATTGCATATGTAGAGTTCCATTTGCCATGTAACATACTATGTTCACAGGCAGAACACCAGGTCACAGGGAGGGAGGGCAAAATTCTGCCTGCCACAAGTGCCTAGTTTGTACCAAGTACTATTATTTTTTTTCTTTTTAATACCAGGAGGCACACATAAGAGAGACAGAGAGAAAGCACTCCTAGCCACATATCCCCCTTCCCCCTGTGAGGCCTGGTCACCACAATTCTTTATCCTCTAGTTCTTATCCTGTCAGGATCCTGGGAATGTGCACACGTATCAAGTATATTTTTCAAGCCACGTGGACTGGGATTCGAACCCTATGTAGCCATGTGGGATCTGGCTTCCTCTGGGCAGTGCCTAACCCCTGTGATACAAAGCCAGCCCCCATTTGGGAAGCTTCAGTAGATAAAATAGACAGAACACCCTGCCTTCATGGAATATATAATCCAACCAGGGCATTAAAAGCCTATAAGGTTTTCAGTCACATATACCTCCTTATAGTTTAGAGTTCCTTTGGGAAAGTGTTAATTAAACTCCTGCCAATTTTTTTTTCTAACCAGGGAGGCCCAGGCATTTGTGGAGAAGTATGAAGGAGCCTTGGGAAAGGGAAAAGGCAAGAGACTCTACGCCTATAAGATGCTGATGGCCAAGGTGTGTGGTGTGAAAGTAGCAGCAACTGAACCTAGTTTAGTGTCCGAATTGGAATTGCACCACAGGCATCTGGTCAACCTCGCCAGAATCCTGACAAGCTATCCCAGAATGCTAAGTGTGAGGCCAGTAGACCATTCTGATTCACCCAAGAACAGAAACCAATGTATCCTGCCAACTTCTCTATCCTTATCTGAAAGGACTTCAATAGTTTTGAGATTTGTTTTCTTTCCAGTGAGTCAACTCACAGAATGAATGCTTAAAACCACTAAGATCTTATTTTCTAACCCCCAAGTAAGGAAAAATTGATTTGGTAGAGAGCCAGTTTGATGGAACCCTGAGGACTTTGGTGTAATCAGGGTCATATAGATGATAAACAACAATGTCCCCAGAATAGAGAAGCAGTTCTTATTTATTGAATTATGTCATAAGCTGGGCTTCTGATGTGGGCTAGGATATTGACATTCTTTCTTTATTCCCTATTTATCGGTATATCCAATTTTTAACTTTCTTTTTGATCCATTTTTAGAATTTTTATTCTTTCAGAAACTCAGTTATTTCTAAGATTTTTATATGTGTTAGCAAAAACTTGTATATAGTCATCCTATAGCTTTTTTTTTTTTTTTTTTTTTTTGGGAGGGTTTTT